TGATCGGTGTCTCTGGCTGACTCCCTCAGTGTGTGGGGGTGTGGGTGGGATGGGTGGCGAGCACTGAGGACTTGCTGCTGTCAGCCCGAACACTCCAATAGCACCTCTGTCTCCCCTGCGTGCGGAGGCCAAAATGGCCACTCATCATTCCTCCCTTGCCTCTCTGATGACTCACTCGGTAGCGGCGCTCTGTCGTTCCCCATAGTCAGGGTGTGACTATGGGGAAAACCCCTGCGAGGGCTTACTGGTAAAGTCTGTGTGTGCTTTCCACGATCAAGCTACTGCTCAGCCAAAGGCCTTTACAATTCAGCCATTTCAATGGACCTCCTTTATTCTTTCTTTCATCCTTTGGACGTGCCAGGCCCCTTTTTTACTAACTTCCATTTCGCCCCTGAAAACACAGCCGATGACCGTGCAGATCCTGTTCCTGTGAGTAAGACACATTGTTTGCCCAAAAAGAATGAAACCAGAAAGCGACGGGCATACGTCTCTCATCCTCATCAAAAGGACGTCTTTGCAAAGCTCTGAACTTATTTCCGTCATCTAAAGCAGTGCTAGCTTACATAGCATGGGAATAAACATGGCATTATGCTTTTGGCTGCGGTCTATTATCTGGTTCGACTACCTTACTTTTTTTTATGTCTTTATTTTCAATGGTACATGAGGTGCATATATATTTTTGTCCACACAAAGTAGGCTTTTGTTTATTAGATGACACACGCTGATAAGTGGGTAGGCCCATGGCTCCATACATGAACTGTGTTCTCAGTTCTTATTTGCGTTTTTTCTGAGTTTTGTACATGTGATACTAGTGAGTGAATGAATAAAAGGCATTCACTGAGAGTATTTAAACATCAATTGCATCATTGTAGATGGAATTAACAAATCACGCTGCAACTGCATGGCTGCTTTTTGATACTCAATAGCTTGAGTTTTGGTCCACCCAATGTAATGTAAGCAATTATTAATTAACTTTTCTTAATAAAAAAGTGGGTCATGGCTTGATTTGAGATGTTTGGACCTCCATTTCTCGGTTGGTTAACCCGAGTCCCGTAGGCGTAAGTGGGCTGCGGTGTGCGAGACCCAGCCCGAGGTCATGTGACACTGATTCACCCCAGTCTGTTGGGACAAGTGAAATCCCCGGCATTCACCTGTTGTTCCTTGGCCGTCTGTCTCTAAGCTGGCGGAGGCCCGATGAGTGCGCGTTGTGCTTTCTGTCTGCTGAGGGGCTAAGCCATCTTAAAGAGGGCCTTTCAACGAGAGATGACAAGATAAGACCCTGAGGCGCGGCGCTGCTCGTCCGTCACACAGGGCGCCGGAACGGAGAACTACGAGGTGTGCAAACCCCCCCCCCCCCCAAAAAAACATGATTCATTTTGGAACTGCCCCACTAAACCGACAAGCAAAAAATCCACATAGCTTTTGACCCCTCAGGGGTTCTGAATGCATTTTATGTGTGGCGGGACGAATGGGGGTTTTTTAGTTGTGACTGCGTCACGCCTGACTTTTGGGACAATCCGTACCAATTGAGGCGTAACATTTTCTTTTAATTGTTCCTCCTGGTCCGGAGCTGCAGAGGGGCTTATGGTGCGGGGAGCAGGGAAATCACTGGGCCGCACGCTAATCCCTGTTGATGGTTTATGTAACCCCCCGGTGTCACATGATCGCACGTCACCACCCGCCCGGCTTCCGTCTGCACTCGGTCATTTACTCGCCAGTCAGCCACTCGCACGCGACTGGACGACATGGACGGGGAGGAGGAAGAATGAGCGGCAGACGCAGTCGCGATAAGCTGGCACGCCGCCTCCGCTTCCCTGTGCGGTCGAATGCAGCCGTAGGCCGCTGCTAAGGAGGCAAGCCTAGTGGTGGTGGGGGGGGGGGAGAACAACACTGAACAAAGCCCGCTCGGGAGGCATCCGCTCTGGTACTTTTGGAGGTGCCCATGGTCCTGCTGACGGACGGCTCCATGAGAGCGCAGGGCCATGACGGGATGGCAATGAAGCTTTTGTTCTGGGAGCTGGAGCAGCATCTCAAAAGGTAATACGAAGACGAGGACCCCCTCCCTCCCACCCCAACCCCTCTGGGGAGTTACTACAGTGTGGCGTCGCTTCAGCCAATCGCTACAGTAGCTGCACACAAAGGGGTTGCGTGGCTTCATTGTCCTATTTCTTGGAGGTCATTACTGGTTTCCACTGAAAGCAGATGCACACGTGTGCTGTAACTGTAGAAAAGGTGGGGAAACCTGGCCCGACACAGTCAGGTGGTAACATCTCCATGGGACTGTGGGAAATCAAACCCACGGCATTGTTTTTTTTGTTGTTGTTTATAGCGGCTCTGTTGATGCTCTGTTGTTCCAGGTGAAGTCAGTCTCTCTTCTGCAGCGCAGGAATACCTCAGTGTAACTGCTTCTCTTTGTTATTGTATTGGGGCTGATTTTCACCGCTGAAATGTTGCGCCACTGTCACTTTTATTCAGTTTTGTAAAAGAAAGTACACTGAAAACTGGTTTGTGATTTTTTTTTTTTTTTTTTTTTTGGGGTGGATAAACTTGTGACCACATCTGTATTTAAAATGCAAAACAGGAGTAAGTGACCTTGAGCGTTGCTCTGCACAGGTTTCATTCCTTCACCGGCTATTTGCGTCTGGATAATGAGCTAAACCCTTCCTCCAGTCAAAGAAGAGACCAGTAGTGATGAGCGTGGCTTAGAATCTCCCATTAAGCTATTTGGCTGATGGTTGAACGAGTTTGTAATTGGAGGTGAGCAGCAGCTGACATCATTAGAAGTACTTGGAGGATGTGTTTCAGTCTTCTTGGTAAACGTGCTGTGATACCCGAATAAGTAGTGAGTCCCTCTTATAGTGACTACTGGCTTTTAAGTAACTTTTAAAGGTTTGTACTCAACCTGGGCTCTGTTTTGGGATCAAGATATTTCTCCTCCTGACTACGTACAGCATTGGAATTTTTCTTCCATTCAGCCCTTCAATACATCAACCACGCATCAGTCCACAGTGCCCCAAGGGCTTGATTTTAGGACCATTGGTGAGTGTTTTAACCGAGAGGTATGCATATTCTTTTGTATGGGACCTGCAGTATCTTCTGAGGCCCTCATCGTTGATTGGACCAGCATTGCATCATAGACAAGGCGATGATCCTTTTAGGGGAAAATAAATGTGCTGTCCAACGGGGAGGAACATGGTGCAGAAAGTCTGTTGCATAGCAGGCTCACCGAGGTAGACACCAGACCCAATGAGAGATAAATATATAATTTTATTATCTAAGCGTATAGCTTTAACAATGTCAGATTCTCCAAATTGATAATGGTGTGAGGTGAGATCCTCCTGCTGCTGCTTAGGTCCCCTTGCTGTGTTTGAGTGTGTGTTTGAGTGCGTGTGTGTGCAGAAATGTCAAGACTGTCTGAAAAATCTTAGAATATGTGAGGAATGCATGGAATGTTTGCGTCATGTTGAGCTCATCGATTGAACACGTCCACCGTTGTCTTTAAGACATTTGACGGATGCATAATCTACCATTTGAAAGAAGTAATATTTTTATCTTGCAAAGAAGGTGGTCAACAGAAGTTGCACTTTCTTGGAAGTAGGATGTTGGTGCAACGCTGGAGTTTGACTGGGTTTTATTCTGTCAAAATGTCTTTGTGTAAACATTAAAACCACAGCTAAGTATATGGAATGTCATTCTAATTTTTTTTATAGATAATTGTATGATCATTATGACCTTTTGCTTTCTGAGCTTTGCGACTGGGGATTTGCTTGGTGGTGTGGGTCTGCAGTGCCGTGCTTGGCCACATGGGGGCGTCATACCGATAGACATTAAAGCACTGCATTGATGTTCACCGCATTTCTGTTTGTCCCATGGTTTATAGCTATCCTATCATAGTCCATTGGACATGATGCTATTGTTACTATTGGCCTAATGTTTGTTGTTTTCTGTATTGAAAACCAGACTACCTATGGATAGTGTCTCTATGTGACCACAGATGTATGTATCCCCCTTCTGGATGAGATGAACTGACCGCTCATGATGTTTTATATGAGTGACTTTACAATTAAATTAAATTATTAGCTGAATTTCCTATGGAGATAAAACAATGCATTACAATAAGGTAAATTCCTGTGTTTTAATGTGCACGAGCAGCAGGTCATTTTATTCATACAGGAGCTAAACGTGTATTCTCCGTAATTTATCAGCCCAAACGCACCAGCTCTTTCTCGCCCTGTTTCTCAGTAGTGCAGCGCTTTCTTCTTCCCATCCGGTTTCCCCCGGTTCCATCCACCTCCTCCGCTCTGGGAACATTTTATGCAAAAAAACCCGCATCAGCTGAGCGGCAGGTGGGGGCGTTTCTGAATAGATTATTCAAACGACTCCTCCCTCTCGACCAATCTGAGCGCGGCGCCTCGATGCGTCGCTGCATAAATTATGCTGCCTTGTCCTCTAGCGGCAGATCTCCCTTTTTTTTGGCCTGTTTTTCGGTGGAGTTGGTACAGAGCCGAGATGAACTGACCTTGGAGCGTACCGCCCGCTGTCGGTGCTCGAGCTTTGACGGAACCGAAACGGAGAATCGCGCGGGTGGTCTGGCCGAGCCGGCGCAGTCTTGAGTCGGGAACCGTGAAACATGACCAGCGTGAACGCGCCGTGCTACTCCGCGGCCATGGATCTAAGCGTCTGCCGGCTGAGGCACTACTCCCTCTCGTTTCTGTCGTCGTTGTTGGATGCGGAGAGCTCGCCCGTCCAGCCCGACAAGAGGTAATTAAACGGCGGTGATGCGTTCAGGCTCCCCATTTTTCCCCTAAAAGTGCCGTGCGATGGATGTGGTGCTGACGGATGCTGCGGGGTCGTTATCGCACCGCAGGCCGTCGGTTTGTGGAGAAATGTCCCGATGTGTCCTGTGGGGGGGGGGGGGGGGACACCGCCTGCGCTTCTTGTGCGTTTTTTCTTTTATTGGTTTAGCTTTTTATTAATTCATGTGTTCTTCTGTTCCGCAGCTCGTCGGGAGCCAGCGTCGTGGCCATAGACAACAAGATTGAACAAGCAATGGTGAGTTTTCAGTTTGTTTCATTGTCTCGTCGCTGTGGAAAATGGTAACCGCTTCGGTGACTTTTATAGTGCTTCACAAGGGAAACATTTAGGGATTAATCTGATCTGTATGGCTGTCTAGTTTGTTAAATTCCGTTTTGTGCTCTCATGCATATTTTAGGCAAGAATGTAATACATATGAGACAGTGACAATATTCTTTATTTATATTTAAATTTAGGGCAACAAGGCGTTTATGGGGCGTACAATGAGTATTATTGGTGTCGTGCGTGCCACTTAAGAAATAAGTTAATATATGACGGGGCTCGAAAAAAATCCCTGTTCATGCTAATGTGAAAGCGGACCTCCAGCGTCCTCCACAAAATCATTTATATAGCAACTGTTGCCAACGTTACCTCAAGCAAACCGCTGTGCACAGCGTGAGAATAAATGACTTTTTATTCCTTTATGTGGCAATGCATTGGTTATCTTGCTTTTACTGTCGCAATATATTTCCAAACCCTTTTCCCCTTAAATTGCGTTTTGTTTTCTGTTACACGCTCTGTTGTTGTCCCCGCTGTTGCTAGGCAAACTAGAAGGCTCTCACGCTTAAATACCTCGCCCTCTGATTGGACCACAGTTAAATGTGGGCCGGGTCAATGACGTGTCACTCTGGAATTATACTCATTGACGTTCTTTATCGTACGTTATAGTGTTATCACTTAGAATTGATTTGACTTTTTCTGAACTTCTGTATGTTCACCTTTAAAGCATGTTTAGTAACAGAAGCGCTCATATTTCCTACAATGCTAAATAACCTGTTCCCAGTGTACGGGAACAGGTTGACTGTTTACACTTTATTATTTGTTCATTCCTCAATCCTAATTTGAAGTTTTTTGTTTTTTTTTTACTATTAAACACACATGTTGAAGTGCCTTACACGCTGAATAATGCCCCAAATCTTTTAAATATTTCTTGAATGTACACATGTTTGATGTATAACATTTCACTATGTGTTTTAGTGTCATGTAAGTGCAGTTTCCCATCCTTTTGGCGTCAGGACTTATATGGTTGATGCACAATTTGTATCATAGTAAGATGTTCAGCATAGTAACATTTCAGTTTTAAAGCTTTAGAATTGGATGAAACGTTCCCACCATAACCCCCCACCCCCCCTCTGTCTGTCTCAGGACCTGGTGAAGAGTCACCTGATGTACGCCGTGCGTGAGGAGGTGGAGGTCCTCAAAGAGCAGATCAAGGAGCTGATCGACCGCAACTCCCAGTTGGAGCAGGAGAACACCCTGCTGAAGACCCTGGCCAGCCCGGAGCAGATGGCCCAGTTCCAGGCCCAGGTTCAGACCGGCTCCCCCCCCGCCCCTCCGACGGCTGCCACGCCGGGGGCCCCGGGCGGCACCGCCCTCGCCCAGCCCAGCTCGCACAGCTCCGGCCCGTCAGCGTAGCCCGTTCTCTCTCTCTCTCTCTCTCACTGACGGACGGACACGTTTTTTTGCCTGTTCTGCTAGCAGAGCTACGCCTGGCCTTCCGCAGCAGGAGGTTCCGCTGTCAAGAATTTGCACATATTTATCTCTCAGAAGGATGCACCCGGCAGGGCGGGCAGGCGGCGGCGGAGGGGGACGATCCGCAGACGCTGTGTGGGAGGGTTTGTTTCGAAGGAGGGTTGAATCATCGAACATTTGCCAAAAAAAAAAAAACTTGGACATATCAACTAGAATGTCACTCGGAAGAGAAACAAAACCGCTCAGCAGTGGCGACGATATGCTTAGATATAGATAAAATAAAATCACTGTGCCTGTGTCTGGATTTTAAGTGATGTCGATTTTACTGATGACGAAGACGACTGGGAGGTGGAGGATTGTATTAGTTACCTTTTTTTTTCTTGCTGAATGATGTAAATAAAAGTGGTTCTCTCTCACGGCCACCATTAAGTTACGGTCCTCAAGGTTTGCAAGAGAGAAAAAAAGCTTTCTCAGAGGGACAAATGGGGAATGTGAGCGATTTATTATTACAAAGTGCCCGTCTGGAATGGGGGAGTCTGATATATCGAACATTTGTCGGCGTTGATGACGTTACTTCGACTGCGGGTTGGTGGGATGAACAAAACGTGGTTCTCAATTGAGATGATGACATTCTATTTCAGTATTTCTCTTTCAAGCTCATTTTGCTCTCGACGAAGCTCAACGCTGTTTTTTTTATTTTGTTTTTTTTTCTTCCCCCTCAATCCTGCTGTGGCATGTAATTTAAACCTTTTTCACCAGGGTTGAGACTTTGGTCCAAGCTGCATTTCCTTTTTTTTTTCTTCTAAGAGTTTGATGGGCAGAAGATTATGTATATTTCTGTACAGTGTAAGTACCATGTAAAATAGTGAGGAGAGGGAGTTGAAACAACAGAGGTTATCTCGGTCACACAGGTGGAAGCGGGTGAGCGAGGACGGTGCCCGTCTCGCCCCGTCTGTGGCGTCTATTTTTAATGCTGTATTTTCCAGACTGGAGTTGAGGTTATTTAACTGGCAACACACACGCCAACTATGTTGTCCGTATCCCTTGCTAACATGAACTCTTCACTTTCTATCACTTTCACTTTTCTTTCCGGAGTATTGCACTTTTATGATTTCTTTTTCTTTTTTTTCTTAATAGTGAAATACTCCCGGATGAGCTAGATCTTGAAAGTCAGCATTTAAGGAAAAAAAAGAAGGAACGCAAATACAAACTCTGGAGCAGTTTTTTTTGTTTTTTCATTCTGTGTATCGGTTGTATACTCGTGTTCTGTGCATGTTTCTGCAAAGACCGGATGACATATTGTAACATACATACGACATTTGCACTTGACAGCTGCACTTCACAACTTTCAATAAACTTGCTTAAAGAAGAACGAAACCAGCTGGTCAATTTCTCTTTCTCACCAAAGCCGGGCAGTTTGCCTCCATGATGGAAGGCGTGTTATTTCATCAGGGTTTGATGGCGTGTTGTTGGCGGAGCGGTAAAAGTAATTTTGGCAACACTTTTTTTGTGATCAGTCAACAGGGTAAATAATACAATTCAATAAATATGAAGAATACAATTTCTAATAACAGAAATTCCTAATGCATATTTTTGGATTTTGAATGTTTTTTTTTTTAAAGGGAATTCTGGCTGATTCCAACTTTGTTTGCTGTGTAGGGACTTAAATATAGATGAAATATAGGAACAGTCTCCTTGACTGCACCAAACAAAAGATAAAATTGTTCCAATACCAGTAATCTAAACCCCAGTTCTAGTAACTTAATTTAAAATTTACAAGTTTAAAAACGGTAAAACCTCCTACTTGAGTTGATCCGTGATTAATGAAATCCAGTAAGTAAAGACCCTAAAAAGTGTCCTTAACAAACTGTGTGTACAAAAAGTAACACTGAGCGCTCTCTACATTCACATTTATTTAAAAAAAGATTATTCTCACATAACACGGACCAACACTTGAACAGACCGATATGGCACATCGTCAGCAGTAATAACACACTCTCTCACATCAACGGTTAAAACTTCATACACACACGTACTCCAGCCTGCGTGGTTTTAGACTGTCCATAGAAAAGCTGTCGGCACCACAGACTGCATCACTGTAAACGCTGATGAGGGCGGGACGGTGTCCCCGAGGGAGGGCGGGCGGAGGGGGCGTCTGGGAGTCTTCCCCCTCTGCTGGAATCCGAAGCTGTGGCGTCAGTCTCTGGGCCTGCGAGGAGGGGAGGGGGGCTCCTCTCGCATCACATTCCCATCCGGATGCTCTGGATGATCTGAAATATGGCTGAGAGCACAGCCGAAATACAGAGAAAGAGGTGTCTCAGAAACGGGGCGCGTGCATGTGTGACGCCTCGCGAGCGCACGCGGGGAAAACCGCCAAATGAACGGCGGCTGAACTCGAGGTCCACGGTTGGACACGTGCTTGCTAACAATTAGCATCTAAACTTAATTTGTTAATAAAATAATCCAAAGCAGGCGCGTACCTGAGCCACACACGACAAACACGAAGAGGGCGAGCAGCCAGGGCCCCACAGGATACTTCTCCTCCTGTGGTCGCTAAGGGGGGACAAACACATCACGTAAGCGTTCAAATGGAAGGTAAGCGTCCGTTTAATTATGGAAAACAGGCAAACGCTTCATTACAGTAACCTCACAAGAGGATTCGTCGTGTTACGTCTGCTACTGATTAGGTGTAATCAGCTAACTTGTCTGCCCGCAACTCCTGGTTTGCGTCTGTTCTCTGCTTGTTCATCCGATCCCTTTGTTACAGATTAACTGTTACAGGACCTCGGTGCTGACCCCCCCCCCCCTCCTCCTCCACGGATCCGTCAGCCCCTTGGAAGTCTAAGGAAGCAGTATTCAAATACCAAAAAAAAAAGGTTATTTTGGGCAGAGTTACGACAGAAATGCTTCAACAACACGAAGGCGGGTGGAATTACGGAGAATGAGGTTCCCCTTGTCCACACCACCTGCTTCTGTCCCTTTTTTTTGTTTTCAAACTGTGGGGTGATGTGGAAAAAAGATGAGTGGACCAGCACGAGTCGTCGGCCTACGCGGTCTAAATTTAGGGAGAACTCGTCCGCTCGCATCACATGACGTCATCCGTTGGGACTTTTAACGTGTTTGTCTGCTGTTGAGAGCCTGAGCAGCCTGAATATTGGACACGATGGAAGTATTTTGAGTAACGGGGGTTAAGGATGAAAAGACAAACAGCCACGTTGGGATCGTTGGGCCTGTTATCAAAGGGATGAGCAAGCATGTTGAAGTCTGCCTCAATCCTCAATCAATACCGCTGCTTGTATATGGTCGATTACAGTGCGTCCAAATAAACTGAACGCAACATATTTCACTATGACAAAAGGAAGGAGTTGTGTGGGAAATGCGAGATGTTGACTTTGAGCGTGCAAATCACAGAAGGAAGGTGTTTCATGTTCTATGCAGTGAAGAATAAGAGTAGTGGCCCTGGAGCTTTTGACTGTGTCACACAATCCTCCTCAGCCGTCCTCTCGTCATCGGCGAAACTCGGAGACCTGGTGGTTGGTTTGTTTGGCCGACTGATTGTTTCCAAGGTCGAGTATACGAACTGTCAACGTCGGCTTCAAAGCCTGGATGAGAGATCCTTGAGGAGCTCAGATTGAGCCGTAGGTGACGTGAAATAACACACGTCTAATGATCGAAAGGGAGATTGTTCACTCAACTGTACTGGCAAACAGTGAAAAATCTCAATCACGTTTCCCAAAAGCCAAAGATATCCTGCTAATAAAGGTTATGGAACCAGCAAACACAACCAGTAAATGATAATTACTTCAGCGTGTATTTAAAATTCATAAACTCGTTTATATCACAACTACAGCAGCTAATAAATCCAATTTTTTTGGCTCGTACAGATATTTACTTGATTAATACACCTATTAAAAAGTGTAACAAATTAACATAATTCTCCTGGTGTTACACAAGCCTTACCTATAAAACCAAAAAGATACTTAATTTACTATCCTAGAATATAAATATGATTAATTATTAATATCAAAATATTCTATACAATATATTTCACATTTGAGAGACATTTTGATCGATTAATCGACCTGGGCATTTTAAAGAGTGACAAAACTTATTATTATTGTCATTATTATTATTATTATTATTTATTATTATGTATAGAGCGCATTTATTTCCCAGCCTCCACCCAAGCTGCTCATCTTCTCATCTGCCAAAGTACCGTCCAGAGGCGGAGGGCGGTCACGAGCGGAGCCGATCACACGTGAACGTGGACCGGCTCGGTTCCGGTGGCTCTCCCGTGAACCCCTCCACGTCTCACGTTGCTTTACCACTTATGTTCGAATGTGCCGGGGGAAATCGCTTAGCAACCAGTCGACACCACCACCACCACCACCACCATCACCACCACCATCATCACCACCACCACCATCACCACCACCATCACCATCACCGTCGTCATGCTGCTGTGTTCACGCCGGGGGGAACGTCACCTATCTGGGCTAATGTCATGCTGCCGTCTCGCTGTCAGTTAGCGGCTCACCAGCGTCTTGGCCACGTTTCCTCTCTGCGTGATGTTCTTGCTGTGTTTCTCGTTGGCCATGCGGATCCTCTGTTTAGCCACCATCTTCCGGAACGATCTCTAAAAGCCGGGACGAATTAGAGCCTTGGTTGATTATTTTTTTCTTCTTAATAAAAGCTGCAGGCTGTCGACAGCACCCCTTCATCAAGCTAGGAGACCTCTGACACGATATCACCGGAAACTCGATTTGTTTTATTTCAAAATACGAGCATGGGATATTACTGGCGGGGAGTCCGCACTTCAAGACGGAGCACGGTGGGGGTATTTTATGTTATTTTCAAAATGCAGCAAGTGCTTTTGCAGAATCCTTATAATGAATCGTGTTTTCCAAATATTCCACGCAAATAATAAGTGGTGTGTTTGTTGAAACCTTTACTCTGAAGGCCAACACAGGAACTTGCATGCTTCATTTTGGGTAGCTTCACGTGGAAAAGGGGGTTCGCTATGATATGCTTTACAAAGTAAACCAACAGGCAGCAAACTAAACAGGCTGTTGTCTGGAGGAGTATTAAGAAGAAAAAGAAAAAATCCTCATTGGGGAAAATTTGTACAAGAAACTAACAAATTGAATAAGATATCAGGAAGCCCGCATGTATCTATTAATTAGTTATAGGTGAAATAAGGAAAATACAAAATAATATATCTGCTATTTGCATTATATTTATAATATACAGGCTAACGAAGAGGAGTAAAAAACAAAAAATGAAAAAAAACATTAAAAAAAGACATGCAGGAGTTTGCAAGTGATATAGTAACACATGGCACGAAAGCAAAAATAGAATGTCATTGAAATTTACACTCAGGTTCAAGTTTGTTAAGAATGCATGTGACAAAACTGAAGGTTGAAATGTTCAGCAACCTCAACACAGAGTCAACGCTTTTCTAAACCCGGCTCAGAAATCAGACCCTGCTCATTATAAACTGGACTGATGTTTCGGACTGCGGTGGTTTGAGGTAGGTGTAATTAATACACTGGAGTGTGTTTGCCATCATGTGTTCTTACCAATAAGGGGATAAATGCGCCTCATTATCCAGACTTTTGGCTATACAAGAAGAATGTTTTCTTTCAGGAAATTGCATTTCTAGTGAATTTCTTAAAAATTGATGAATGATCACAACCCACATTTCCTCTAATTCAACACTGCACAAGGCACTTTTCATTCTAAAATAAAGCATACAGCTTAAAGTGGACCTTTTTTGTATATGAATACATGGGTGCTGCCAAGATCCTCGTAAAGATCAGTCAAATAAGCACTTCTTTCACATATAGCTTGCATAGTAGCTGTAGTCTGGCCATGTAGTAATAAATGCAAACAAAAAAGGTGAATGACCACCTGGATTTACTCAACGTGCAACTGTGTTTCTGAATCAGTTACAGCTGACTTACATCCTTCACTCCATCAGACCAGACAAGCTATAGCTGGCTGCTCAGAGAGAAAGGAGAGTAGAGAAAGAGCAGTTGCCTAGCAACTGCATCAAAAGGGTCGCTGGGGCGGGGGGGGGGGGGGGGCACACCCAAAGTCCTCCAATGGGAGAGAAGAGAGAAAGTCCCCCTTGTCAAAATAGCGACTCAAAATCAAACGTGGATTGAGAGGAGAGCTGCACTGCTATCAGCACGAAAAAATTCATAACGGTTCCCGTAGATTTACCGAAAACTCCAGAGTTGACCATGTACAATCTGTTATTGCTTTATTGAAGGAGTAGATCCACATTTTTTGATAACATGGGGCAGCTTTTTTCATGAAACGATCAATTTCTGTCTCAAGTCAAAATAATTTGGGCTTAACTTGTCCTTTTAAACACAAACACACACACACTTACTAAGCTTATTAATTAAATTATCTCTTCTGTGAAGCAATAGAGACGGTAAAATCAATTTAAACCAAACAATTGCAGGGATTTATCCTGATTTATGTTGATGATGGAAGCAAAGTTTACAACAATGATTATCACATTTCATATTCTATTTTGGTTTCTAATGTATTGAGGCTCTATGCACTTTGAAAACTGGGATGGTTGTTCAGTACAGAGGTGTTACTTTAACTTTCACTTTAAGTTTTTAGTATTCATTTATCCATTCGGTGTCACGTTTATGTTGCCTTATAAATTCAGCCAACGTCTCTCAGCAGCGTGGTTTACTTTTACTAACATGTTCCCTCATGAAATATACTTTCCAGCGATCCTCAAACTTCTGATGTTTCATTCATGGCCTTGAAATTCACTGCAGTTATTTTTTAACTAGCAAGACAGTGAGGTGGAAATGCTTCGCTGAAAGCAAAGCAGCCGGCAACACCAGACATGCAACACATTCATTTGAGTCTGCAGAAGTACAGACCAGATGTGCAGAAGTTCTCCATCTGTTCAAACACTGTGTTTCAAAGTTACACGTGAAGACAACCCAACGCGCCAGTAGATGCAGGGATGTGAGTACAGATTGACCGTCATAGTCACTGGAGGGTAATAATGCAAAAACAACAATCGTTATGTTAACATGGACACACGTGCACACACGTGCACATGCCGTACAGCAGCTGTGGAAGAGTTTAACAAGGGAAACCAGAGGAAGCACATCTGGGACAACATTTGAGCACAAATACAGTGCAGGAATACGCTCAGATGGCGTAAAGTTTCCCCTGAGGTGCCAAGCTGCACGCTGACACCTCAAAGCTTCTCCATTTTCAGAAAGCTGCACCCTTCGTGATCTCCTCTCGAGTGGAGGGGCGTGTGTTTGATGTCCGACCTGGACAAAAAAAAAGCTCTGTGTGAAAACATGTGGGCTAGTCGATTGATGATTACGCCCCAAAGCAAATCTTTCTCTTCTCAAATTGAAATCAAACACAGAGTGGCAATATTTTGTGACTCAAATGAACAGCTCACTCCGACTCGTTAAAAAGGTTCATTGTGGGATTTAATCCAGTCCATTTGCACTACTGTGACGTGAACAATTAACATGTATTTTCAGGCAAAGACGCACACTAGTGCTGTTGTCCACAGCAGTGTATCTTTCTTCCAGTAACTTGTGTTTTGTGTGTTTTGTGTTTAAAATCTCAATACAGTTTTACATCCATGCTTTTACGAATTTTATTTTATTTTGAAGGTGTGTTCTCAAGAGATTTTCTTTTTTAATGTTTCAACATCCAAGATATGAATATATATTATATATTTATATATCAATATAATTTTCTTTGACAGGAGGGGATTTACCTTTTACCTGAATTTTAAGTAAGAGATTTCACCAACACAAAGAAAACCAGGAGCAGCAGGATGTAACCTGGAATCAACCTTATACCTAAACCGCTTCTATTAAAGTGGGTCACCCTCCGTGACCCACTTTAATAGAAGACTGCCTTGAGATGTGTGTGTGTGTGTGTGTGTGTTTGTCAACAGCCTCTCAGAAGAGCATTGAAAATAACAAGGAGTTTGCTTTGCTTGGCAGGCCACACTCAATGATTACAAAATCTTGTTTGGGGAATTTTTTTTAAATTTTTCTTTATTTTGTAAGCATTATATTTTTCCTTTTCCTTTAACACACTGAATGATTTGTGGTATTTTGTGACAAATGCATCTTCGTGTTGATTCTAAAGATCACAATAACGACAAAATGCCACCGTTGGATAAAATGCTGCTCTTCCAGGTCAGAGTCAGCGGCCCGGGTATCAGTGCGACCTTTGGTCCTCTGCCGATATCAAATGTATTGCATTTTATCGTGGCGGGTAAGAAATGATGTAGTCTGGCTTTTGTCAAGGTTGAAATGAGTAACAAAGTCTGAACCCCCCCCTTCCCCAACTGCATCGTCAGAGGCTTCTGCTCACACTCTGTTTTCCAAAGACGGCTTTTGTTGGTTTTACTTTGGAGCACATTAATCTGCCCTCGCTGTGACCTCACGTATAATCCATCCAACGGCAGACACGCTCGAGTTCAATGCTTCCTCTTTCTTGATCTGGGGGAGGTCAAACCTTTTAAAACACCACGTACTGAAAAGTGACAGATTCTGTGTTGTTTCTGCATTAACTATCTGAAGGAAAGGAATGTAATATTTGTGTTATAAAGGAGAATTTGAGCCACATGAAAACTACAAATTTGGATTAAAAATTGGGGGGGGGGGTCTGTGGCTTGGAGGTCGTGCCTCTTGGTCGGGACGATCACTGCTCTCATCCCCGTTTCGTTCTTCTGCCGGTTACGCAAGCGCGGCTTTGTGCGGAGACAACAGAGCCGGTCAGACAAAGCTGCCGCGGACAAAAGGAGCACAACGACGGCCTGAAACCCCGAGAGAGCGCAAGAACAAGGGGCAAAGGTCACGGACACGCACGTGCACCTACAGTATGTCTGCAAACACGTATTCGTTCCTCTATTGCCGGGTGTGTGTGTGCCTTCCGTTGGTGAGTGGATGAATGCAGTGGATGTAGAGAAGGACGGCGGGATGAATGTGTGTGTCTGTGTGTGTGTGTGTGTGTGTAGCAGACTCTGCTTTGACATCTGGCTCTGATGAAGACAGCCTTCTTTTCCACAACAAAAACATTCCTCAATTCCGTGTCTCCCCTACTCGGCGCTCCCGTTGCCCACGGCGATCCCTCCTTTCTCACGTTCTTGCCTTTCCTGTTCTACCTGGAGTATCCCACCGCCCCCCACAGACTCACAGAGGTCAAAGTATGTCGTTTTGTTTGAAAAATGTCTTCACAAGTCAAGTCAAGTCAAGTCAAGTCATTTTATTTTGTATAGCCCATTATCGCAAATTACAAATTTGCCTCAGAGGGCTTTACAGTCTGTACACATACAACATCCTCTGCCCCGAAACCCACCATCGGCACAGGAAAAACTCCCCCAAAAATGAAAAAACCCTTCCAAGAGGGAAAAAAGGGAAGAAACCTTAGGGAGAACGTCAGAGGAGGGATCCCACTCCCACAGTCCCACTCAACACAGTCAACAGGGGAGGGGTTACTCGTGTGTCATGATTCATCCAGAAACGAACCCGTTACATTAGGCAGAACTTATTTCGCTGTGACATAAGTATTTTGTCCAGAAGCTGGAAGAAAGACCATTTAAGCGATGGTGCTCGTTAAGGTAGAACAGCTTCTTGTAATGGAGTGGAACCTCGAAGCTGATTGGCTGCGGCCCGGTCCTATGGCAAGGAGAACCCAATCAAATGTCTGGTGAGTGCAACGTGACCTCATT